CACAGAACTCATGGAAGCGGGCGCTGACAAAGCTTTTGGCGTTGTCCGCCACGATGAGCTTGGGTTTCGGAAAGTGCGCCAGCCAGCCATGTACAAGACCTTCAATGATCTCTTCGGAGGATTCTGGCTGCATTGCCAGTTCAGGGTACTCCTTGATGAGCTTAACCGCACGGAGCTTGGTAGCGAGGTCAATGATGAGGATGAAGCGTGCTTTCTTCTGCTGTCTTGGTACAAGCCATTCAGCGGTGTCAAGGCCTATGCATTCCCAGGCACCAGGTAGTGGATGAGTTGCAGCGGGTGGAATCTGTCCTGATGAAGTTCCGCCCAGCTTGAGAGACTTGCAGGTCTCGCATTGGTGTTCTAGAGCTGATTGAACCTTCCAGGCAGGACAGCCTGCGTCACGGACCAATCTGGCCAAGGTGCGAGCTGTAGGATGTCCAGCTGCCTTGTGGAAGTGTGACAGCCGTGCTTGCCACTTTTGAAGCTCCTCCTTCGAAGGACTCAGTGACGAAGAGCTCGAGGATGGTTCCGCTTGTAGGGCAGGTAGTACATGAGGTAGCTCCTCCAAATGATGAAGCTCTTCTTCAAGTGTGATCATTTCCGGCTGATCTTCCTGGGCAAAGACGAGCTTGAGGTTCCGGTCAGACACATGCTCCTGTCGCCAGGTCAAGGCGATGGATTTGCATAGTCTCCATGGGTAGTAGGAGCTCTTGGCAGTTTCAATGCCTTGAATCCAAGTATGACTGTGGCCTCCAGGACATACCTTACATTTGAACTTGCTGTGGAATTGCTCATTGGTGGTCATGACACGCCACTGCTTCTTGACGAAGCCACCGGATTCATCAGAAGCTCGAAGCCCACAGTTGCAGCCGTCAATCCGGCATGGAAGCCATTCACGACCGTGATTGGCCAGGATCTTGTGGATGTACTCGATGGGGTGTTGGTTCCAGCCTTCACAGGGCCAGGGCCATTCAAAGTAGATGTCCACCTCCTCATCCTCGTTGAGGATCTCCTCGATGAAGTGAGCCGCCATCCATAGCATCCTTCTCTCACGCCGGCGGTACTTTTCCAGTTGGGCGCGACCTTCTTCGGTCCGGTAGTTGAGATGTGACCACCGACACCATTTCGTGCGTGGGAGGCTGAACCAAAGTCGCCTGGGTCGGTGTTGGCGACGAAGGACTTTCAAATGGTCCCAGGTGGATCTCTGGTAGATGTCATAGCCAGTGGAGAGGTTGATCCTTCTGGGATTCAGTCCGTGTTGGCTGCAGGCCTCACTGAGCCAAGAGTGAGGTGCACAGGCCACCTCCCAAACGCCGTCCCTTCCATCCATCAGGAAGTTCATAGTTGTGGATGCCATAGCGGTCATCAATGTTGTAGCCATGAGGAGCAGCCGCGCAGCCATAGATCTCGGCAGGGGCGATGTGGTATTCGAGGATGTGGTCATGCCTCGCTCCCATAGGCCTTTGGAAGGTCGGTGAGTGTGCCCTCCTGGTCGCACTCCATTCGGCGCTCCTCCAGCAGCTTCATGAGTTGCTGCATCTCCTCCTCCTTCAGCAGGTCCTCCAAGTCGAGCTCCCGGAATGTCTTCTTCCGAGGATCCTTGTGCGGGCTCGGTGGTGTGGTCGGTACCACGTCCCAGCTCGAGGTCAAACTTGACGGAGCGGCTTTGCTTTTGGATGCACCCTTGGACGGTGGAGCAGTCTTGTAGCCCTTGATGTCCTTCTCGCGCTCCTTTTCCTTGTCCAGGGCAATCATCTGACGTCCGATCAGGGTGGACAGGGTCTCCTCGGCATCGATAGCCTTCTCCATGGCCAGGCAAATTGCGGCAGATGGTCGTGCCGAGTTCATCCTTTCCTTCAGGGTCGTCAGCATCCGGAGGATCATCGTGGGGTTCTGCACCTTGGAGCTCTGCCCATGGGATCCGTGTCGAGGAACATAGCGCAGCCTCAGGTTGCACGTGGCACAGTGCAGGTACTTGGCATGAGGGTTGGCCTTCCAGGTGTCCTCGAGGTGCTCCCCGTAGCATGGCCATTGATCCGGACTCCACCTCGGATCGCGATTGTCCGGTCCCACTGCACGGCCCTCGTTGAAAGGTCGAGGCTCCTGCTTGTCCGGGCTGCCCGTCAGGCGCTCCCGGAGATCGGCTGTGCCGCCGCGTATGTCCCAAATCAGGTTCCCCTCCTTCTCTGTGAGAGCAGCTCGGTTGCGGGACATGGCAAGAGCGATCAGGGGACGTCGAATTGAAAGGCTGGACCAAGTCAGTCCGGCTCATTTGAGTCGTGGGCTGCAGCGCCGAACATTGATGATGGATGTGTTCATGGAGTGTCAACAGATGTCGACGAGATTGTTCGATTCGATCATGGTTCCGAGGTCTGGTGTCCATTGAAGTGGTCATGAACTCCAAGGGCATGAACTGAATGAAGTGATTCTCAAAAACCGCATGCTCTTCAACCACATAGACCTGGGGGTGTCCTTCATGGCATTCATGTCCCCGTGTGAGGAAATAGACAATGTCCATCACATAGTGTCCTTTGGGGTTCACCTCCAGTTGATAGATCTCAGGTTGTGGTTCATGAGAGTCCAAGGCAAGTCCAGTGGCGAAATTGATGACCATCGAAGAACGTGCTCCCGACAAATGGTCCATTCCGATCAACACCGGCACCATGGATGAGGGCTTGAACGATGGATCGTGCATGTCCGACGGATTTGGTAGTGCATATAGTTGAAAATGATGTGGTCTACCCGAAACGGACGATGTCATCGAGACACGATACAAAGCCCTTCCCCACTTGCCGTTCCCGAATCGAAAGTGCGGCCTATCATCCTTGCGGACTTGAATCACTGCCTTGCTGTCCTTGGCAAGGATTGCAGAAACCAAGTTCTCTACGGCCAATTGGGGACCGGCAGATGCCGTCGCCCCGCAATCCAGCAAACCATGTGTTGCCGGCAAAGAAGGCGCAGGCTGTGGCGCTCCGGCCTCTTGGGCCTGCATCTCAAGGCCACCAAAGAAGACTTCAGAGTTGTAGGCATTGACAGGGGGTCGCGGGCTCGGACCTTTGCCTTTGAAGCGTGTCGAACTGCCCTTGCCTTTGTGCCAGGCTTGGGCTTCCATCCAGTGAGATTGTTTTCCTTTCTTGCCACCCTTCTTGCCCATCATGAAGTCCTCCATCATGTACGGGTCATACTCCGTCATGTAGTGGTGTTTGAACTTTCCTTTTCCCTTGAAAGGACCAGGATGTCGACGGTCGGGGCACTCGCGAGACAGGTGAGGTCCATTGCAAATGAAACAGGGGCCACGGCCTTTTCCCGATGTGGGAGCAGCATGTCCAAAGCCGCGATCACGTCGAAGGGCCGCCGTGGCCTTCTGGGCATCTGCCCAAGATCGTTGAGCTTCCAAGGCCAGAGATTCGGCCATCTTCTCGGCTTTCTGGGCCTCCTTGATCTCATCATCGTCCTCGGCCTGGTCGACCTTGTCATCCACAGTCTCGTGGGCATAGTTGACCTCAGACCAATCCCATGAGGGCCAATCATCACCGTGCCATTCAGCTTGAAGGGCATCCCATGACCAATCATCATGATGGGGTTCAGGATCTTCTACCACGGCCATCTCGTGCCAGTTGGAGACGTGCGACACCTGAGCTCGAGCACCAATGAACTGCTCGTCCCAAAGAGTCTGCAAGGCACGGCTCACCTCCTCAAAGTCCAAGGAGCCATGGGTTGCTGAAAGGATGTCACGACGCTCCTCAGCTGACAGTCCGGCCGACTGGAGAAGCCGAAACCCACGAAGGACTCCAAGCACGAAGGAGTCAGCGAAGCTCAGATCTGACAGGTCATCAGCGAGGCCAGATTGAGAGGGTTGCACTCCAGCTGAACGTCGGCTGGGCGAAATGTCCTGTGGAACTCGATGATATCCACCATGTTGAGGTGAACCACTTTCAGCAGCAGCTCTGGTCGAAGCGCTCGGCAGGGATGTTGGTTGAGCCGTCGGTGCATTGGGGTCGAAGTCACCCTCCTCAGGCTGTTCAACGTTCTCATCGTCGAGCGGCCACTCACCCCAAGCATGCCATGAGGACCAGTCATAGTCCTGGTTATAGTCATAGCCGTCCTCGTAGTCAGGCTCTTCTGGAGGCAAACCAAAGTCCTTATCCTCCTGCTTCACACCTCTCTTCTCCTCAGCCAATCTCACCAAGGCCTCAACGAACTCGCTGTAGCCAAGAGCCTCTCGGACGAGGAAAGACGTCATCGCCTCGTGAGGCTTTCGTTGGAAGCCAAAGTATTGACCACAAATGGCCGAGGCATTTGGGATCGATCTCCTCACAAGCGGGGAGGCAGCTAGCCTCTGCAGGAGAACCTTCGTGCCGTCATACTCGTCCAGGGCCATGTCGCTCCATGACATCGCAAGCAGCCTTGCTGGTCCCGTCAGGCGACTCAGCAACTTGGTAGCGACATATCGCCGCTTGGAGATGGGCGTAGCCCTGAAGTACCATGAAACCTCCCGCGTGTAGCGGCGCCAGCTTTTGGCAGAGCCGTCCCAGGAAGGGACAGAGAAAGCATCCTTGTCGGCCATCTTGACCAAACTCCAGGGGGAAAATCTTCAGCAAAAAGGGCCTCGCTCAGCAAGGTCAGGAGAAATGCAAAAAAGGGGCAGCAGCTAGCCACTCAACCAGTCTCTGCGAAGACCTTCTTGAACTTGTTCGGGATGTAGTGGCGAAAGCTGCAGAGGTCGCTGGAGCAACGTGCTCCGCTACCATGTAGCGGGTGGAGCACAAGTGGAGCGTATCGAGGGGCTCAAACACAAAGTACGAACGAAGTCCGGACAGCCGCAATGGCTCAGCTTTTCTACCGACCGCAGTGGTCGAGTCAGTGCTCGAAAGGGGCCCCTGGATTCGGGCCAAGTGGCATGGAAAAACATGGATGCAACAAAAGCTCAAGCTCAAGGCCATGGAACCTGCAGAATGTTATGGAATGTTAGGGTTGCCCGAAAGATTCTCACAGGGCACGTCGTTGCCCAACCAAGCAAGCGCCAGTTCCAAAGTCGCCAGGGACTGCGAGATACAGCCTTGCTTGCAAGCTTGTATGATCTCTTGTAGTGCACGTGTCAATGCAGCCCCAAGCAAGATCTGCAAAATCCACTAAGGCATCTGGCTCGACGGAAGGGCTTCTCTTTTGTTTCCACCGAATCCGAAATGAAGAAAATCTCCTGCAATCATGGAGCAAAGAGTGCCAAGAAGCCCTTCCTCGTCTTGTACACCAAAAGTGGCCTCGGTCACAACCTCCTGAGAGGTGAAGCAAGCGACAGTGTTGCCTGAGCAACACCGGCAAATTCAGTCGCTCGAAGTGCCCGCAACTGTTTGTACTTGTTCTTTTACATGTACAAAAAACATATTTATGAAGTTCACCACAGAATTGTTGAACACATTCGTCAATCGCAACTTCTGAAGACTTGGCGACAGGAGAAGATCGGCGAACATATTCAACGGAGTCAAGGCTGTGGCACGGGCAGCAGCAGCATGTGGCGACCTTGGTCTCAATCTCTACAAAACACATATCAAAATGCAAACTATGTATGAAAAAAATAAATACATTGAAGGCACAGTAGTCATCAGAATCACCAAATATTTCGATTCCCGATTCTCCACCTCAAGGCCACCGTATGTCCACTTGCCAATGACAAGAAGCCCTTCAATACATCTCAGCATCTTACCCCTCCAGCACAGCAGGAGCCCTCCCGGAGGTCCTTGTCGGATCCATAAGTTCTGCAAAAACTATAAAATGTTCAATTGCTTTCTGGGTCGATATACGGCACTGGAGTCACTGGAGCATTGTATAAAGACAAAAAATGACACAAGTCTGAAGATGTCTGAAGTGACTTCTGAAAGTCTTGGTCAGTCAAAAGTCTTGCTCAATAACTGGTCAACCCGGGGTTTGTGTGTTGAGCTTTTTGTTCCAACGATCGTCGGCATTGCAGTGCACCGTGCCCCTTTTACTTTTACAAGGACATGCCATGCAACCAAAAAAAGACACAAGCCATATTTGGTTGCTGTCTTGAAAGGGAATGCGAGCAAACAACACACTGCAGGCTGAAAAACATTGCCTTTCAGCTGTGGCTATATAGGAAACCCTGTCTCTTCCTGTTCTACCTTGGTGTAGTACATGACATGTGCGCACCACGCACCGATATGCAGGTGTCTTACCCTCGTGAACCCGGTATGTTGATCTGCAGTATTGCCTCAGACTGCCTCACGCAAATCCGGTCCCGCAGCGATCTCTCCCCGGCTTCCACGATCTTCATCCTCTCCTTTCGCAAACAAAAAGAAACCATCCAAAGCACTGCGACTGGATGTCTGCCGAAGCACTGCGAGCATGCTAACAGAGAGAGAGAGAGAGAAGAGAGAGGAGAGCTCAGAAGCAACGTTGGACACAAATGCTAGGAATTTGGAGCTGCTAGGTTAGTGAGTAAGAGGAACTATTTTGGGCCGGTTTTCTCCCTGAAATCAATTCTTTGTTGTTCGTATATTATTTGATTGCGGTCTTTCTGGGGTGTGGGACGTCAAAAACACCAAACATATCCAAACATATACAGTACAGTGTGCAGTGAAAGCTGAGCACCAGCAAAGGTACAAAAAGTCCAATGCCCTGAGAAAGGCAACTTGAAGAGTTTTTTGTGGACCCGGACTGGGTCCTCAGAATACTAAGGACGCTACTAGGGGAAGGCCATCGCTATTAGGTTGGACGCCATTTCTAGTAGGTTCTTTTTGCTATTAGGTTGGAGGCAATCGCTACTAGTAGCAAGAAGTTAGTAGGTTGGAGGCACTACCCGGGCAGAACGGTACAGTTTTGATAACTGCGCCGCAGGCTTCTGGTCCTGTGTATCCCCATCGCAAGGCGCATGAGGAACTATGCGATAGGGCACAAAGGTCTCTGTCTCGACCTGCGCTTCTGTAGCGTAGGGAAAGCCGTTTGTTGCAACATTGTACTAGCGTACTCGCGTGTCACCCTCTATGCCACCTTGTGGCACTGCACGCCCACCACAGTAGCCTCACAGTTCTTTGCGCAAAGAAACCTCAGAGCAAAACGACACACATTTATCATCCCCTTTGCAGCTAATTGGAAACTCAGAAACAAACCTGACTCTGAGGTCTCCAGCCTGTCCATCTTCCAAAAATATTCAAGAAACGCAGGAACGTTTTTGAATGTTTTTGATGTTCTTGCCGTTTCCAAAGAACTGCCAGCCTCCTGCTTCTTGAAAAGTGAAGCCTCCACAAAAAAATAGAACAGCACACCAGTCTGTGTCCTAGCCGCTCGATTCTGAAGCCGACTGAACTCGAGCGATTCCCACCTTGGCTTCTGCCAAGGTACCATTAAAGCCTTGCCGTCCGTAGAAGAAACCATCCTGCAATTGAAACTAATATGGGCCAGGAAAACATCAACCCTCGAAGAACACACTCTGAAACAGAAGGGACCTGGCAATTGGCAAAAAAAGGTATCCCAGCAACATGCACCTAAGGCTACAAAGGGTTTCGTCGAGATTGATCGCAAAATGGACACCGCATGGAATCAGCGAAGCATTGATCAAACCCGAACCAACTATATAGTCAAAACTCAAAACTATTCCTAATAGATAAGCCTGGGCAAAGGACAGTCTCCGGAAGCTGCGAAGCGGCTGACTCAAATGAGCGGAAGTGAACCAACATGTCCTGGTCTGAGGTTGAGTGCGGACGGGCAATGAGCACAAAAACAAGTACAAGGGTCGAGTCAAGTCAGAGTCGTTCCCAAGTGAAGCGTACACACTTGGGAAACAAGGGACATTCACAGTGAAACTTGTGAAGCATACATGAACTCTTGGAAAAGAAATTTTGCTGCCATAGCCAGCCTGTGACAATCCAAAAGCGCCCAAAGTAACCCGAGAACAGGGAGTCGTCTTTGTTCCCAGGATTAGCCCCCTGCAACTGTTAAGATTTTGCAAGATTCCGCTCAGATCTGAGGACATATTGGAATGGATGGAAACTAGGAGCACAGCGTTGGCAAGGGTGGGTTCAGGGGCCTCTGTTGCCTGGCACATTTGCGCAAACGGATTCCAAAATAGAACTGAATTTGGCATAATAACCGGAGCGCACAAATAGATACATAATAGGTACGTATATAATCCCTACCTAAAAGTATGTAAGTCACAATATCTGGGGGGCATGGATATTGAACCTCAAAATGTAGGCTGACATTTTAGTTCTAGTGTGAAAATGCACAACAGCTTAGCTAACATTTCACAAAACAGTTGCAGAACATGTACAGAACGTTTTTTCATGACTCCACAAACTGCAAGTTGCTAAAGCTGGGAAACGCTAAGCATCAATGCTGTCTTGTCAAACCGTGGCAAAACTACATCCAACAGCTATGAAACTTTGAAGGCGCGATGGAAAAATGTAACTTACCACGTCAAACGTTCTAAGTTACATTTTCCCCACGCCAGCCACCTCCTTCCCCCGTGGTGATTTCCCGGGCATTCCCCAACAACAACACACAAAGCCCCCGTGCACTCTTGAGGAGCTCCCAGGAACATGCAAGCCAAAAAACTTGAAGGGAAGCCAGGAATATGCTCCCTACGTTGCTACCTCTTGTCAAGAACGTGGGAGAAGTCAACATGCCTTCATAGGGCCCCTCAAAATTTTGTAGATTGGTCCCCGGATTGTACCTAAGGGGGGTAAGGGTTGTATATGTATATCTATACTACACCCCCGCCCCATGGACCTGTGTTTTTCGATGCGAATGCCCAGCAGCAGGGCACTGGAGTTTCACATCACAGTGTGGGTTTGTGGTGAGTGTGGGCGCTGTAAACTTTACTTCGCGATCCGGGACCTTTTCTGTGAACCTGCCAGAGTCCATGTCTCTGACTCTCCCAACACCCTGGCGTGAAGTCGTGTCCTTGCTGCACCATATGAGCGGTGTTCAAAATTGTGTTGTCTTTTCCTGCCGAGAAATCAAACCTTACGGTAGGCCTTACGCAAAGCTTACGTTCTTCTATCTTTTGCTATCTTTTGCTTACGGTGACACATGTATGCATGGCTATTCTTACGTTGTGCTTACGGCGAAGGTATGCAAGTCCACTATGGTCACATATGAAATTTTTTGCAAAACAAGAAAGGACACATCAACAAGTGTCGCTTCCGGCAGCCTTCCGGCATCGTTCAAGTCTGCACATCCTTACGGCAAACCTTACGGAGACCTTACAAACATCAGCTAAAATCACTATGTTCACTGATTTTTCGCCGGTCCCTGACTAAAAAGAAAGGGTGAATTTAGAACGCTGCTCATATCACTTTTCGCCTTCACGATCAACCCGCCTAAGTCTACAAAGGGAGGAGCGGGGCGGTCTTTACATGTCTACTGTCTACGAGACTACGAGGCCACTACGAGGGGTCAGCATAATGAAACCTGACGGCGGCTGGCGGCTCCGTAGTCTCTTGACGTCCTCTTCAGCAGGGTGGTGATAACAGCAGTTCTCAACACGCATGCCAAGAGTTGAGGGGGTACTGAGGCCGGTATTGGTGCAAATGCGTCGTGCACTATGGTCCCCTTTTTGACTTGCCTTGTGACACTCCTGAACCAGCAGCGCTTCGCGCGTCTTACAGCCTGATTCAAATCAAGTTGACGGAATTTCTTCCCACGCAACACGCCTCCAACGGCGCGATTTGGACAACTTTCACAACAAACCAAAGCAACGATGTCGCGTGCAATTGACGGCGCTGGCAGCGCAACATTATACGCACCATTACGCAGTTATCATAGTGATAACGTTTTTTGCAGAAACGGCGCCCGAAGCATGTCATTGGATTCTCTAGTGCAACATTCCTTCTGCACCATGCTCATCTCCAAGCCCTCTTCACACTGCGCTCTTCACCTGCACTCTCTCTCAGCTCTCTCTCTTCCTCTGGCCCTCTTTGTCTTCACGTGGCGCTGCGTTGGTCTTTCGGTTTGTTCCACCTCTAGTCACTAGTTTCCTCGTCCTCTTGCTTTCCATTCAACCTGGCGCCGTCTTGCCGGCTTGGGAATCTGGGGTACATGGAAGCCAGGAGCCAGCGCCGTTGTATGCCACTGTAGCACCTGGCAACTGCCATGCCAATGTAGGTCCAAGGTATGCCTTTCGCAGAAATGAAGTTGAACTGGAGGACTCAACTGCACCTCTTGCGGTGGGAACCGCAACGTCTCTCTGCAAAACGGCATTTCTTTTCTATGCTATTGAATTGCTTATATATGTATATTGATGTAGAGCACACTCTCACCGAAGGCTCTATGCAGCAGGTCCAAGCAAAGCTGACCAAATGAATGAAACCTAAAAAACCAGCAGTCACCAAACCCTATTCTGTTGGCCCCCAGTCACACAAACACAGTGGCAATGGCTTTCAGGGTGAACTCAGCGGTCTAGGCCCCACCTTATTCCTTGAGCACACACCCCACGGAGTGTTTCAGCCATTCGGCTTCCCTCCAATGTTCCCGTGATCACACAGATATATGTTTATAGAGGTATAGCCATAGCTTCAAAAAAACAAGATGGAACCCACGAACCCGAATGCAAACACGTTCAAAAAACTACATATGTCCAAATGACACTCTTGTAGGACACTCTTGTGGGACACTCTTGTGGGTCACTCTTGTAGGAAACTCTTGTGGGACACTCTTACGGGACACTCTTGTGGGACACTCTTGTGGGACACTCTAGTAGGAAACTCTTGTGGGACACTCTTGTAGGACACTCTTGTGGGATACTCCTGTAGGACACTCTTGTGGGACACTCTTGTGGGGCACTCTTGTGGGACACCTTTGTAGGAAGCTCTTGTGGGACACTCTTGTAGGACACTCTTGTGGGACACTGTTGCGGGACACTCTTGTGGGACACTCTTAAGGGACACTCTTGTGAGACACTCTTGCGGGACACTGTTGCGGGACACTCTTGTGGGACACTCCTGTGGGACACTCTTGTGGGACACTCTTGTAGGGCACTCTTGTTGGACACTCTTGTGGGACACTCTTGTAGGAAAGTCTTGTGGGACACTCTTGTAAAACACCTCTGTAGGACACTCTTGTGGGATACTCTTGTGGGACACTCTTGTGGGACACTCTTGTGGGACACACTCTTGTGGGACACTGTTGCGGGACACTCTTGTGGGACACTCTTAAGGGACACTCTTGTGAGACACTCTTGCGGGACACTGTTGCGGGACACTCTTGTGGGACACTCCTGTGGGACACTCATTTGGGACACTCTTGCGGGACACTCT